CACTGGATTCTCTTGTTGCACTGGAATTTAGAAATTGATTGTTGCATGCGGAGTGAGGAAAAACCGACCCGGAGAAAAGTCATCGCTACAAAGTAGAGTATCCCGAAGGGGGAGGGGTACTCTTGCCCATTTAGGGTAGGGATGTGCCGCTGAGCCCTCTGAACCCTGACCCTGTTCCAGAGTAAAATCGCTGAAATTCATACCCTGTTCCAGAGCAAGATCGGTGATAACCATACTCTGTTCCGGTATTGCGAAAATAGATACCCTAGAGCGTGATTTCATATACCCTGTTCCAGAGCGAGCGCGATTTAATACACCCTGTTCCAGAGTAGAATCGCTGAAAATCATACCCTGTTTGGCGGCACTTATAGCGAATATAGGGGAGTACCCCCCCCCTCCCCCGGGAGAAAATCAGCCTTACCTGCTTTGACAAATTTCCCATTCTCTTTCCCATTCATAATTAAAAATTGATTGATTTATTTTTATTTTTATATATTTATTTTTTCATATTTCTCTTCAACATTAATTATTCCAAATCTTCCATTGTACTTTATACATGTAAATGTTTGGTAAATACTATTCAGTTAAAATTCTAGTTCCAGTTAGTTTTTTTCCACATTCATTTTATATTTCATTTTTCACATACCTTTTCTCTAAAGCCTCTAATTTCTGACCTGTTTCTAAAGATTAAAACACGATATAGGGATCAAATTCCTTCAATATATAATGAATTAAAACAAATAGAAAATAAAATATCTTGTGTTAGAGAGGGATTAAAATAAACTTTATTGATCTAATTTAGGTGACTTGTATTTAACTCTTTTTGCCAAAAGGGAAAAGAAATAAATGAAATGGCAAAAGCAGGAAAAAAATCATAATTATAGAAATTGAAGAATGAATGAAAAATAGTAAAATGAATACAATTTATAAAAACTAAATGCAGCTGGTGTATTGATCTATAAATAACACTTACATTACAGACAGTGAGATGAATTGCGTCATGTTTAGAGTAGGTCCAATACTATAAATGTGTAGAACTCTATCATTATTCAATAGCACGGATATAGTGTCACAGTGGGCACTAGGATTAGATCTTTTAACCACGTTAGCATTCATCCTCTATTCATATGTATATATATGGATTATCATGTACGTTTTTATCAATTACAGATATTTTCATCAACAGCTGAATATCAGATAAATCATATTAAGATGGTTTCTGTCAAAGGATATTAAGCTAATTAGTGATAGCGTACTGTTAAAAAAAAACCTCAAAGCTAAGCTGCCATTTTGATTGAGGTACGCTGTCAACAATATATAAACCGAAATGAATTCCTGTACCGACGTCTACTATATACAGAGGGTGTCACTTTTTTTAATCCTCAAAATTCGAACTCATTCACACAGAAAATTCTACCATCTTTTAATTAAGTTAGAAATCCTTTTCTTAATCCCTCAGTAAACAAATATACGTCTACGGGAATGGATATTAGCTAGAAAACTAAACCCATCGCCTTGGTCTGTGTACATTATTTGTTTATCCTGAGATTAAAGTGGACAGCCACTCCAAATGCTCAAGGGATTACGACTACAAAACCTTAATAAAACCGACATTCTTTTTATTATCGAACACATAAATCCGATCATACCAAAAAAATCTCTGATTTTAAAACCAAGAAAATTCGAAGACTCTGATACTTAGTGTGAACTCATACATAACTTGAAGGTGCAGTTGGATATTTTGATTGCACTTGTGCAAATAATAAAAGACTGACTCTCAAAACAGTAAGCCAAAGAGCAAAAGATTACAACAATGACAGAGAAAAACACAGTTTTCATCTTAGCTGATGGGTTATTGAATAGAGCGATAGTTTATACACATTTCGTATATTCGACTGTCTGTTCTAAAAAAGGCTTTTAGCTTCAAAGCTTTAACTTATATAAAGTGCTCTATGAATAATCGGGAGCTGCATGTATTAGAGCAAATATTTTGAATGTGATAAGATGTCAACATAACTAAAGCAACRTGAAACACGATCGGCACACTCACTCACAGAGAAAAATCAAGCTACAATAAATACTACAGTAGTATAACTATTAGCATTTATATTATGAAATTGTCAAAATATACTGAAATATAATAAGGTTTCAGGATGTTATCCTTAAAAAAATTCCCCGCTACAGAGTTGAATAATTCACATRCATACCTTACAAAGTGTAAATCTAATCAAGAAGGAAACGCGCCACTAACCCTTTCAATGCGACTCTTATTCGCACAGTACAAAGTAACGAGTGTTAAGAATTATCTTAGGAATATTAAAAAAATCAAGATGACTATAGGTTTGTTTACCACAAATTCCGCAAGCTGTACAGCTCGTCGCCACAGTGTCGAGCCGGTAGCGTGTTTCGGGAGAGTTCTCCTGCAGTTTTGACGATATATTTACCAAATTTCCCTTGGTATTGTAGAGTTTTAAAATATCGTAAGGGCTTGCTTCAGCAGCACATCGAAACAACTCTAAAAGGAAGTAAATTATAAAAAGAATTCACTAAATTTGTTAGTGATGAAACAGCAGAGCGCTTGAGGCTTGGCTTTCAATTTCTTAAAAATCAACTCGTTATTTCAGGTAATTACTYATAACACAAGAGTAAAAGAATATGCGAAAAACTAATCGAAAGCTTTGCTTGTAATAATGATAAAAGTATCAATGGTGAATGAAAAAATAGTATAGAACCTTTGATGTCCTCAGTAGGAACGTCCGGTCCGAACTCTGCCTGCTCGTCTTTCTCTCCAACTTTAAAATAAATCACTTTTGCCGCCATGACTTCTTCAGGAGAGAAGATTTTAAATTAAATTAGCCACTATAAACTAGCGGTTACTTCTTCAAGGATAAATCTGATTCGCACATGATGATAATTTTTGATCAAGTCTTCCATTGATATTAACACGTTGTTTACATGTTGATTTCTCCATCCGGGTGCCTCGCAACGAGACCGCGGCAAACAATGACAGCGGTTAAAATTGCATTCCTCTGATTGACTTCACATTTTCTCATCCCTTCGATCCTTTCTTTCTCTCTTTCTTTTTCTCTTATTTTCATAAACGTACAACACTATCAGGAGTTGACAAATTAAAATGATATAATTCCAAGTTATTTATATGTAATAGCAAATTTTTTTTTGTAATCGATTTAATGTAATTCACTGAGTGCATTCARTCAAACTATTGAATAGTTGGCGTCACCTAAATTAGATAAGTTAGCTACTATTTTAGCTGACCTCACATAAATTTGAAACTACGAGTAAACAGCTACTGAGAACAGGGGGAGAAACGATGATACAAATGAATGTCTATTCACTCATTCTCTGGTAAAACAACCCCCCGGATTAACATGACCGTTATTTGGCGCGCTTTTAATACTTTAGGTAACGTCAACTAAATAGTTATCTAAGTTAGATACATTTATCTAACTATTCAACAGTTTGAATGAATACACTCTAGTACAAAACTCTACCTTTATTCAAATTTTGAATTTATTTGTACACTTTCGTTATGAATATTAATTATTGTTCGTCCCTGATATTGGGCTTCCTGTGGAGTAATAGTCCAGGAGTCTGGAGCAGAACTATTATTTTGTCGACTTTCACAACAAAGAAATAATTTCTTTTAATAAAGACTCTTCATTCTTAGGAGATCAAGAGAGCCCTATACCTTGGATCTTAGTCGTTCCAATCATCCAACAACAATGCTAGTCATATGTTAAAGGTTCCATAAATTTGTAAGTAGTTCAAAATACGTTTCTTAGTTGTTTATGACTGTTAATATAGTGTTTGACTTGACATAATTTCCCCTCATAATAGCCTTGGAAGCATAAGTCATTAAAAGAGTTTGGTTCTCAGAGGTTTAGTGTACATGAAAAGAAATGAAGAACTGAACGTKACAGAACTATGATCCCTTCTTGGAGGAAACATAACATTGTTGGTAAGATTTCAACAAAGTTAGCAATAGACCCAGGTAATGTTTTGTAGTGCAATGTCTTCCCATTCCAGACGGCCACGTTTCATTGTCTTGAGAATAAGATTGTTTGTTTGAGTTGTATCATTTATTTGTCTTTTATGCACAACTGTTAAAAAAAGAAATGACACCCTAGAGAAGGACACATGGTCTGAAATGGGAAAACATTGCACCACAACAAAATGGGTCTATTTTTGCTAGAATATTATTTTTCTAATTATCTACTTTTTACTTGTTTTTCCCCTTTGTTTTTGAACTAATATTAAAGCTTGTGTTGTATAATCACATTGTACAAATATTACTGACAGAAACTGAAGAAGAAGTTGCTAGGAACAGAGAAATCAAGAATAGAATCATCAATGAGCTGTCAATCACTGTCAAAGAAGTATGTTGTTTAATAGTGAATCGTTTCTCCTCATACCTGAAATATCCTCACTTTTATCCCTCGCAGATGAATAATAGACGACTTGCACTAACARGTCACGTGACCCCATCCCCCTTAAAATGAAWAAATGARTCAAAATGAACTCCAGAGATGAAAAGAGCATTTCAAATTTAGTAAGAGGGTGAGGTTTCAGCTTGAAATGTTGACTATAGAAGAAACAACATTAAATAGAAAATCAAATATTTTACAAGGATTTGTRTGGGAAAAGTGTTGGCTGGTAAGCTTTTGCTATCCAGCGCATTTTCCCATACAAATCCTTATAAAACATTCAATTTTATATCTAATACCATTTCTCCTGTTTTGCTTATTATGAGCTGAAACTCTGCCTCCCTACTGATGCCAAGATGCTCTTTTCATTTTGGTTTTTTTATCTTGACAAAACTGTTCATTTTAAGGGAGTTAGGGTCACATGACCAGTTAGTTCAAGTCATCTATYATAATGGAAGGGAATCRATGATGGTGTAGTTTCTTCTCGCCTCTAGGGTCTTCCAATTCCTGGACTGGGCATGATATGTGAGTCAAGTCTGTCYGGTCTCTCCCTTGATTTAAGGTTTTTTCTCTAGTTTTCCTGGTTTTGGTGGYGAAGAGGATGATGATGATGATGACGATCATATGGTGGTAGTGGTGGTAGTGGTGATGATGATGATGGTAGTGGTGATAATGATGATGGTGGTGGTGATGGTGGTGGTGGTGGTGATAATGATGATGGTGGTGGTGATGGTGGTGGTGGTGGTGATGATGATGATGGTGGTGGTGATGGTGGCAGTAATGATGGTGATGATGATCATTTGGTGGTGGTGATGATGATGATGGTGAAAATGGTGATGATGGTGATGATGATGGTGAAGATGGTGATGATGGTGATGATGATGGTGATGATGATGATGATGATTTGGTGGTGGTGATGATGATGATGGTGATGATGGTGATGATGATGATGATCATTTGGTAGTGGTGGTGGTGGTGATGATGATGATGGCGGCAATGATGATGATGATGGTGATTAGGGCTGTCCACAAGTTGCTCCAAAAAGTCCAAAAAGTTGTCCCAAAAAGTCCAAAAAGTTGCTCAATAAAAAGTTCATATTTGCAATCAATTTGATGATTTAATATCATAGAATCCAGTGAATAAGTACTAAGTAATGTCTATATTTAATACTGAGGGTAATACTAAATATGCATATAATATAATATTTTATACAAATTTATAAATAATGTTATAAATACTGTACTATAATAAATTTGTAGTCAATCATGTRATAGAAAAGCAATATATAAGCAAATTTATAGTCAATCAT